TAGCCCTCAAACAACCCTGTGAAGTAGAGAATTATAGTCCTAGCTCTACAGATGAAGACACAGAGGCTCACTGGGGTTAAATAATGATAGGCCCCTCAACTGTAAAGACACAGAGCAGATGCACCTTCGGGACATTGACACAGAACTATATTCTGCCCACAATGACAGACAAGCAGTGAGAGGAGAAAACTCTGAGGACATTCCATCCCCCCACCCCTTTTAGATTCAACTGATGATTAGGGGTCTGGCTCAGTGGTAAAGTGTATATGCCTCATGTAGAAGGCCTTGCATTCACTGCCCTGGCATCTCCCTCTCCCTCCAAGCCCCCCTATATATATGAAAGTTCTATCTCTTTTTTCTAGAAAGTGAAACCTGCATATCCATTCTCTGTTTTACGTACATTTTGAATGTTTTTGTGCTCTTTTTCAAGGTCACTGATGAATCCCTATGTTAAGAACCTCTAAACTAAAAGAATAAAATTAGCTCTCAGCATACCATGGTAAAGCTGTACAGAAAACTTTTGATTTACCCTTTTAGATTTCATGAGTATAAGACACTTTTGTATATGAATCACTAACCAAAGAACAGAACTGGGGGTTCTTGATATCACAAATAGATATAAGCATGAAATTACATGATTTTAAAATCAGAAGAATATTTGTCAGGGTTGGAAAGATACAGAGATAGGGAATATAAATATTCTAGACCAGGGACAAAGTGGTCTGCATAACCTCATTCCCAGACTCTGACATAGAGGATTAGATGCTGAGAATGGGAGAGGGACTAGTGTTTGCTCCAGTCCATCCAGGAACAGTGGTGGAGGCAGGATCCAAAACCTGGTTGGTAGCTTCAGAGTCACATCATCAGCCATGCCATCTGTGTAGGGTTGAGAGCAGCAGGCACAAGGGGAGGGGCATCTGTTGAGCACTAATGAGATGCCAGGCAGTGCCCAGTACTTCCAACACCATTTCACCTTCCCAGAAACTCTGCAAAGTGTGTGTAATTATTATAGCTTTACTTTCCTTTGCACTTTTCTGATTTCCTACTTCCCAGCTATCCCTGGATAGCTATTTGGGTTTCCACTCACCCCAGTACTTAGGAAAAATCAGCTACAGAGAAAGAAGTTTTCCAGATGAAGCATCAAAGCCATCATGAGAACTGCCTGTGTCCACCCCGCAACTCCAAACATAAACCAGATGGAGTTTGGACATTAAGGCAGTCACACGCAGGGGCCTCACCAAGGTAAGGTGTCAAGGCATAACAGGGGTTCAAACTTGGAAACCTCACACTTGCAAAGCAAAAGTTTTGCCATGGACGCTTCTCCAGAACCCTTCATTATATGCTCTTAAATCTCTCCAGTCACAACTCCTATTTCCTAAGGACACCTCCACTCACTAATTTACTAATTATTGGATACCCATGATCAACACTCCACTGTACCAGTCAGTCTCAGCCTGAACCACCTGCCATGTGGGCTGCCATGTGGTTCCATAGCTCCATGAAGTCTCCCAGCACAATCTCTGGCCTCTTACTTTTCTCACTCCTTGAATCACAGGCCCTCACTCACATTTGCATCAAACTTTTCAACATTTTAACCAATGGTCGCAATAAATAAAGCTAATACTGTACAATCATGCTTTTTTTAAAAATCTGAACTCATGTCAAGTTATTTATTCCCTCCAATGATATATCAGGAAACTGAGGCCTATAGGAGTTATATTCTAAGTAGCAGAGCTAGTATTCAATCTATCGTGTTGGAAACAAAAGTCTATTTTCTTTGCATCACATAATACTTTTTCCTGAGTATCTTTCATTAATTCTCACAGCAGGGGTTAGAAAAATAGGAAGGACCTTGGTCCCAGTGTGAAGGTGAGGAAGCTTGCCTGGGGGAAATTAGAGGACTCGCTGAAGGGCAAGTTCTGGGATAATGCTTGCACATTGTCATCAGAATCCAGGTCGCCCAGTCTGGAGGACACTTCCTCCCAGACCATATTGCCATTCCCACTAGACCATGTAATTTCTTTTTTTCTGATTGGGATATGGAGCCAGCAGTCAACAGAGATCACAATCTGTCTGCCTAAATTCTCTCTCTGTCTGAGAGTTTAACAAAAATTCATTTCAAACAGAAACCAGGTTAAACTACCCTCGTGCATTGTATTGGTCCGATCCTGGTGCAGTTCCAGGTTCCGCCTCTTATTCTCTTAATGACAGAACAGGCTGGTGATTCTGACCACATCATATTCTGCTTAATTCATGCATAGCACAGTTAGTCCCTCCTTCCCTGCTCCCTGTCCCTTTGCTGTTACTGTTGTAATGACCAGCACTAGCACAAGATGCATGCCTGACTTGAGGCACTTGCACAGTTTTAGTTGTGGTGTTTCCTATGAGTTGTACTCTTTAGGTGTGGTATTCACATATGCAGTTGTGGTGTCAAGGCATAACAGGGGTTCAAACTTGGAAACCTCACACTCGAAAAGCAAAAGTTTTGGCCATGGAAACTCCTCCAGACCCCTTCATTATTTGCTCTTAAATCTCTCTAGTCACCAACTCCTATTCCCTAAGGACACCTCCACTCACTAATTTACCAATTCTTAGATACCCATGATCAATATTCCACTATATCACTCAGTCTCAGCCTGAACCATCTGCCATGTGGGTTGCCATAACCTGCATACAGTTTTGGCCCACTTCCATTTATTCTTTGCTCTCTAGCCAGAGTGGCATTCTGCCCTTTTAAAACCCTTCTGTTGTTCCCCATCATCTTCATATTCAATTTCAAGTTCCTTACAGCCTGCCCTGCCATTCTCATCATTTATACTTGAAGCTCCTCAGCCATCTGGACCCCTTACAGCTCCTGTTGCATGCCTTCCCCCATCCTCTCTGTATCAGCAATGTCTTCCCTTCCACAATCCTTCCCTACACATTCTGGCTAATTTCTAGCCATCCATAAAACCTCAGATTAGATGTACCTTCAGCTGGAATCTCTTCCCTACCTCCCTAAACTGTGTGAGACTCCCCTTCTTCCTCTTGAAGACATTTCTGTCTTAATCATGGTCATATATACCCCCGAGAATGTGACTATACAGTGGCAGAGACTATAAATATGTTCACTGAAAATTTCCTGTGGTCTTCTGGAATTCTTCCACCCCAGGACTTACCACACATGTTTTAATCTAATATCCTCTTTTAGCTCTATTGTTCTGTGTTCTACCCCAGGATTTTTGCAATATTCCTGCATGAGCTCATGGTGTGTTTATTTGATGAATGAGGATGAAGGTGTATTGAACAAAGGAGACCCTGTGTCTGAACAAAGGGAGGGGGTTTCTATTAAGAAGCCACAGAGGCAGGCCACAGAGTAGTGGAGGAGGGAAACTGGGGCCCTTGGTGGCAGAAAATTTATACTGATGAATGGATAGATATTATAACAATGTATGATTGAACCGAAATTCAGTCATGAACTTCGTAACTGTGTATCTCACGGTGATTCAATTATTTAAAAAAAAAAGTACATTTACCCACAACACAAAAGCATCTCAGAGGTAGGTGCCAAGAAAGAAGAGGAAAAATCATGGAATTTAACATCAAAAAGCAACCACAAACCAAGTTTTCAGGCCTTCTCTGGAGATTCTTATGTCTCACTGAGAACAAAAGTTGTGAAATCCTCTTTGGCATGGCATGTTCAAACTCTTCTTCCAGATAATTCAATGTCCTTCCTTCATCACAATATTTCGGGAGAGCAAAGAAGGTGCTCTAAGGAATGAGATGTATGCCTGCATTATAGGAGTTAGTGAATTCTGGAGAAATCATGGGCTACAGACTTGTGTCTGTGTCTGCGTGCATGTGTGGCCCCTAGATAAGGCCAAGGCTTTGTAAGCCATGGACCCTTTGCCTTGGATTTGCTAAGACAAGTAGCTATTAAAGTTGATCTTAAGATAATTCCTTAGTCCTGGGGACAGTAAGGCGGGGACTCTCAGTTGATGTCATGGTGTCTCAGCATTCTGTGGGATCAGGAGCTCCCCTCTAAATGTTTTTTCTATTGCTAGGTCTTCTTCTGGTGCCTCTGCATTGCCACCTATGGTCTCAACTAGGTAACTGACACCTCTCCACCCCCAAACATTAGTCCACTGCTGGCAGTGGAACAATCCTGCCACACAGTGACCTTGAAATGAAAGTCAATACTCAGAAGGCTCCAATTTGGACACAACACCTAAAATAAATCAAACAAGCTAGAGAGTAACCTCAAAATTCATGAGAGCAAAGAATGAAGGTTGGGCATGTTGGGAGAATTTATTTTTAGGAGAAGAATAAGAATAAAAGTGAGAAAGAGAGTAAGATGTGTGTGTGTGTGTGTGTGTGTGTGAGAGAGAGAGAGAGAGAGAAAGAGAGAAGTAGAGGGAAGAGGAAGAAATAGAAGGAGGAAAGAACAGAAGATGGAGGAAGAGAAACCATGGTGGCAGAAATACACAACACAGGAGCCTTAGTCAGAAGGAGTGGGAGCAAAAGAGAGAGAGATACAAGTGGTAGGAAAAATGGTGAGGAGAAAGAAAAGAGAGTGGAAGAGTGAGAGCACAGGAAGAAAATAGCTAACACAGAAAATGATTTCACATGCAAAGGTTAGAAGAAGGAGTGAAAGCTATCAAGGTCTTCCGCAGAGTGGCAACCCATCCTGGTCACTGGTTCTGCCAATTCACAATGATACCACCTGTCCAGGAGCAGTGGAGGAAAGAGGAAAATGGGAGGCCAAAGGAAGACAAGGTCTCCACAGAGACTTCAGAATACCAGAGACAAGGCAGAGGCTGATGTTGCAGGGGGTTGGAGGAAGCTGTCCCTTAGAAGGGTTGGAACAAACCACATAATCCATAGATGCTAACAAGAGCCAGATACTTCCTTCCAAAGCCCAGACTCCCAGATAGCTCATTCCTATCCTGCTAGTAAGTGTTACCAAACCTGGATCCTTGGGGTGGGATGAGGACAATCCAAGAGAACCTGGCTAAGGATACAGGCTTCTTCAGTGTAGGGAACAGCAGCTGTGGTGCCCCCAATGATGTAGCTGTAGAAGGAGACCTCCAGGGTGTAGCAGTAGGAAGTGTGGTCCAGCAGTCCCCCAAGGAAGCGACGGCCAGTTCCTGCTTTGACTGCATCACGGTTAAAGGATGTGCTGGACTGTGAAAGGCAAAGAGGGAGAGGGAATCAGGGCTGGTCACCTGATGGCTACTGGATTTTGTTTTACGTGAGGGGTGACATATGGCTGTATTGAGGGCAGTGTTGGGTCCCCAGGGCCACTCCCAGCTGTGATGGTTATTTGGAGGCCACCAATGTTAGTTATGCCCATTGGTGCTGGGTATCAAACTCAGAATCATGCATATGCTAGGCAGTGTGTTACCTCTTGAACTCTCTCCCCAGCCCAAAACCCATTAGATCTTGCTTCTTAGAGCATGTCTGGGTATCAGCTTCCTTGTTGGAAAGAGGCAATTCAATCCAACATCATAGAATGATTATGAGGCCCGATTAGCAGATGCAACTAAATAAAAGCATTCACAATGTTCTTGGAGCACAGTAACAGACATCTGACAAGTATTTCAGGAGGTGTGAATGGGATAGATGGAACGAAGAAAAGTTGACAATGAATGAGACTATTAGATTACAGTGATGATCAGAACTAAGATTTGGGCAGGGTTTTCAGCTTTATGATGCTTTAAGATTTGAGAAGGGCTTTTAGCTTACCTCACAGTAAGCTTAACTCACCTTACCCTTGATTGCAGATGCTATAATTTTGCCTCTCTAAGGTACAGAGATGGAGGCTCATAGAAGTGGGTCAAGTAAGTGATACACCAACAGATATGAACTTAGATTGGATCCAGAGAACTCTATACACCTTCATAACCCCCTCCCCATTAGAGGACATGGCATTGAACTCTAGTTCAACATCTGCAGACAGCAGAATCAAGCTTGCTTTCTGGCTTATTCATATCCATGATAGAGAGAGAAGGAAGAGAGTAGCAGGTTCACAACTCAAGTTCTCTCCATAGGAACAGGTGAGATGCCAGGCAACTTCCCATAGTTTGTCTTAGTTTCAGTTTTCTCATGCACGAAATGGAAGTGATTATAAGATACCCATCACAGCATTGGTGAGTTAGTCACACAGCATTTTAGGGTCAATACCCCCTTAAATTCAAAGAGTCATTGGACATTTCAGCAAATGGAGACTGTGTCTCTAACAGGAGGACCGGGGCTCTTATTACAACAGGCTCTCATAACAGGCTCTCAGCATGCCAAGAGAGAAGGCAGGAGGGAGGAGAAAAAAGAAAACAGAAAAAATAGAGAGACTGAAGTATGAGAGATACAGAAATATGTGAGGAAAAGAGTGCACACACACACACACACACATATGAATTAAAGGGATAAGAGTAAAAATCATAAAATGATAGAATCTCAAGTCTGAAAAGAATGAGGATGTCCAGGTAATGCAACCCAACTCTCCTACTTTAGAGTCAGACAATGAGGATCAAGAGGGGAGATGGAGATTGGATGAGAGTCAGTGGTTTTGTTCTTGGCCTGAACTTTTAGGGAAACAGCAATGCAGGATGTTCAGGCGTGGTCAGAAATAAAGCTCCTCATCTGCGCTTCCTCAGTAGGCTCCGGAAACCTGGTCCCTTGAAAGTATTAGAGGCTTTTGAACAACCTTTCAGACAGCCTGAATCCAGAGGAGCACAGTTTGCTCTGTAAGTGTAGTGGTTTCCAAAAGTGAGGGCTGGTCATCCTGTGGAGCTGGTGACAGAAGCAAGCACACCTGCTTTTACCCCAGAATCACCTGCTATGCTTCTCCCACCAAATGCTGGCTGGCCTTGCTCTCCCTGTTCATACTCTGGATGATAGGTGTCCATTGGGTGTAAAGAGGGGACTGTGTTAATCAATCTCTCCCCTTTCTTTCCTGGTGGCATTCCAAGATTCTGGGATTCAACATGTGTCTTACCTCATGAAGAAATCCATCATCTGCGCTAATGTCCAGGCCTGAAGCAATGAGCAGGCAAGTTATCAGCTCATCAACTTCAAAAATTGCTCTGACCTTTTGGACTTCTCCCCCTCTGGGCACATGGAAATAACAGGCCTCAGAAATTTAGTATCAAAACAAGGAAAAATGTGCTAAAGCTTGCTGCCGGGTCCTACTACCACATACTGATTCCATTCCTCACCTTCTCTTCCTCTCTCCCTGCTCTTTTCTAATACTGTTTTTTTTGCTGCAAGTTATTCCAGCTGCCGGTGTACCACTTCTCCAGCCCGCCTCAGTGCAGGAGGTAGGCAGGAACAACATCAGCTCCTTAAGTCTGCTGATGTCCTTACTGCCTACAGAAGGCTTTCGTGTTTATCTATATGGCGTTCATCCTTGCAGGAAGCTGCGATGCAAAACAGGACCAAAAATGTTCACCCCCGAATCACTGACAAAGAAACTGGGGTATAGAATTATCAGAAAGGAAGAGAAGGATGGGCATGTATGGCCCCCAGCCTCCACGCCCCCACCCCCGCCACAATCGTTTTTTAGAGTCCATTTCTGATTGAAAGACTAAAAGCCTGTGAATGCAGAGCCTATGGCAGGGCCTGGCTCTAGGTGAAAGCTCACTAAATTTCTTCTCTTATTAACGCTGGAGCCAGAAGCAATGAAAGAAACACTGGTTTCTAGGTCTGTCAAGGTGCATTTTCAATATTCCTCTCTAAGGAGCCATGAGGGCACTGGGAAGAGCTCGCCCGTCTGTCTTTATCCCCTACACAGGTCTGGCACAGAGTCGGTGTTCTCGAAACGTTCCCCCCAACTGGACTGAGTGAGCAGGCAGTGTGAAAGGGTAGGGGTTGGTGTGTGTGTGTGGGGGGAGGGGGTTGGCTGAGAGAGGACTCTTGACATACATAGGAGAAGTCCTCAGCGTTCTGGCAGAGGAGTTTGGGGAAAATGGCCTGCCTCTGAAACCGTTCCTCATCCTCAAAGATGTTGCCGTACATGAAGCCATTCATCATGGTGGAGTGGGCGTGGATGTCAATATAAAACTCCAGGCTGGTTTTCTGTTGAGAGAAAGGAAAACAAATGAGAAGTCTGAGGTCACAGAACTTGCCTTAAAGGCACTAAAGGCTAAATGAGTGTGCTTGTACGTATGCACACTGTGTGTCTCTGTCTCTGTCTCTCTATTTCACATACACACTTTCTCTCTCTCTCTCTCTCTCTCTCTCTCTCTCTCTCTCTCACTCATACACACACACACGCACATACACATGGTCTATCTCTGTCTCTCACACATAGTCTCACTGTCCTTTTACACACACACACACACATACACACACACACACAATTTCTTTTCAAGCTGGCCCTAATATTTGTCAGATGAAGATCAGTTTCTCACTTTAGCAGCATCTGTCCTTGGGGTCTTAGAGTGCTACCCTTTACAACCTTCATTACAGGTCTCCTAAAGAAATAAAATTTTTGGTAAAGAAAGTTGTGATAAAAAAAAGAAATTAAAAAAAGAAATTTGTGATGCTTTTTACCCAAAAAAGTTAATATGAACATTGATATTAAACTTAGTAGAATTTGTTTCTGTTATTAATGAGGATTACTTTCCAGGTAATGTAATAATATTTACATTGCGTCTGCTTATGTTATTTTAACTAATTAAGGCTGTTTCTAGCTGAGGGGGTTCAGTAAGTCACACTCTCACTTTGAACCTCACCTATCTTATTTGAAAACGGGTATTTTAATTCCATCCTCAAAGAGTCATACCTAGCAATACTACTGATGGTCATTTACAGCATAGGTAATACAAGCAAGGTAGGGATAGACCACATCATATTCAATCGACGGTTTTGCCTGACTGATGTCGCTGTTGTCCCAAAATTTCGAACGGGATCGGACCACCGTCTCCTTCGTGCAAAATTCTACTTCACAGAGCGGGGAGAAAGGGCTGCAAAGTTCAAAAAGAGAACTCCCAGAACGACCACCAACTGGGAACTCTTTGGTACTATTGCGGCAACATGGGAAGATGCCATTGTTGACAACATTGACAAGGAATACGATAGACTGGTTCAGCACCTCCATGAATGTGCGAGGAACGCCAAGAGAGAGATAGCCACAAAAAGTCGCCTATCTTCGAAAACTCTTGAGCTAATTCGCCAGTGTGGTTTGGCGCATGCCTCAGGCAACCGCAAGCTAACGTCCGAGCTTGCAAAGCAGTGCAGAGATGCGATCAAGGAAGACCTCAAAGAGAGAAGAGCAGAAGTACTGGTAGATGCGGCAGAAGCCGGGAAAAGTATTCGTAACGCCCGCCTGTCCTTCGCCAACTATAAGACCAAGATGACTGCCCTCCGACGTCCTGATGGATCCATCACATCCTCCAGAACGGCAATGGAGAAGATCATCCATGACTTCTACTCAAATCTCTTCGATAGCCATGTCCACTTGCCAACATACCAAATTCCACAGGATGGGTATGTCGTTCCCAACGTTCTCCCTTCCGAAATCCGACACGCCATTTCGTCAGTAAAGAAGCAAACAGCACCCGGCCCAGACAAGGTCAGACCTGAACACCTGAAGAACCTGCCGTCAGTACTCATCAATACACTGGCTCGGCTCTTCACTCGCTACCTGTCTGAATGCAAGGTTCCATCTCAATGGAAAACCAGCAGGACCGTACTACTGTTCAAGAAGGGAGACATCCATGACATTGGCAACTATCGCCCGATCTGCCTATTGTCTGTCATCTACAAGTTGTTCACTCGAGTCATCCTGAATAGGATTGGCAGAACACTAGATGAAGGACAACCATGTGAGCAAGCAGGGTTCCGCAAAGGATTCAGCACCATCGACCATATCCACACGATAACCAAACTCATTGAGGTTTCTCGGGAGTTCAAGATGCCGCTCTGCTTAACGTTCATTGATTTAAAAAAGGCCTTTGATTCTGTTGAGACGGAAGCGGTCATTGAAGCCCTAGCCAATCAGGGCATTCAAGCCCAATACATCAAGATCCTCCGTGAGCTGTATTGCGGATTCACTACCAGGATCTCACCATTCTACAAAGAAGTGATCGTTGATGTCAAGAGAGGGGTGCGGCAGGGTGATACCATTTCACCAAAACTCTTCAGTGCCACCCTCAAGAACATCATGCGACGACTGGAATGGGAAGGAATGGGAGTGAAGATAGATGGTCGGCAACTACACCACCTCCGCTTTGCTGATGACATTGTTTTAATAACACCAAACATCAGCCAAGCGGCACAAATGCTGGCCGACTTTGACCGTGAGTGTGGAAAGGTAGGACTACAGCTGAATCTTACGAAGACAATGTTTATGAGAAACAGCCTTGTTCCTGATGCCCCATTCGCTCTCAATGGAACGACCATCTCCGAATGCAACAGCTATGTGTACCTAGGTTGAGAGGTCAACATGACAAATGACCTGGCACCCGAGCTGCGCAGGAGAAAGAGAGCAGCTTGGAACGCCTTCAAGAACGTCGAAGAAATAGCTAAGAGGACGAAGAACCTCCGGCTCTGGGCACATCTCTTTGATTCCACTGTTCTTCCTGCATTAACATATGCCTCAGAGACCTGGGCCCTACGCAAACAAGATGAGAACGCCATTCAGGTCTCCCAGAGAAGAATAGAAAGAGCTATGCTTGGAATATCACGTTTCACTCAAATGAGAGAACGAATCCGGAGTTCTGACATCCGTCGACGATCAAGGATCAGGGACGCTGTCTCATTTGCCAAGGTGTCGAAAATCAGATGGGCTGGTCACGTAATGAGATTTAAAGACGACCGTTGGACTAGAGCTGTTACTGATTGGATTCCACGGGATGTCAAGAGACCGCGTGGCCGCCCACCTACCAGATGGTCAGACTTCTTCGTCAAGGTCATGAACGATCGGTTTGAGGCCCTCCATGTTCCCGGAGCGAAGAGATGCCATTGGGCTACACTAGCACGCGACAGGGACAAATGGAGACGTTACTGGCGCCCGCTCGAGCAAATCGACGACTAACGGGAAGTTAAGTGATTAAGTGATTAAGTGATTTTATGGTATATTGATAATTTGTGGAGGAAAAACAAGCTTGTAATTTATAAAGATAACGACTAATTTTTTACTGCTATCTACCTGAACAAGTCCAAGTTATTTCTAGCTTGATATGATGTTATTTGTTAACCTCCTTTCTATAAGGAGGCAAGGGGATTAGACTGTCTGCCCAGTTCCTGTACATCTGAAGGATGCTAAGTACCTCTGACTGAATGACAAAACCAGACAATCCCAGAGAAATTCTGATAGCCACCATAGTGGACTGGCAGTCCAAAAATCAGGGTTTTTTTTTTCCAGTCCCTCTTAAATCTTCACTGTTTTTCAAATCTAACCTAGCTTCATTTTATATCAGCCCAATTATTTTCTAGCAGTTTTTTTTCTGTGAGTAAAAAAGGCTCTGAATAGGGAAGAAGCTGATCCAAGCATAAGGAGAAACATGAACCAAAACCCAGGCTCATGGCATGGAGCCAAGTCAACCTATTACCGTCAATGGTCAACACAAGAGACAGTCAAGGCAAAGCCTGGTCACTTTTCCAACTCCCATTCAGCATGTAGCCCTAGGAAAGATGAAAAACCTATGCTTAGAAGGATTCTCCCTCTTTGGGACACTTTGAAATGAAGTTAAAGCCAAATGAAAACCATGTTGCTTCAGGAATGTGGGCCTGATGACTGTCATTTCATTTGCCTCAGAGTTGGAGTGAAAAATTATGCTTTACTGAGCTCCCAGTTCTCTGGGTAGCATAAGCTGTCTTTTGAGAGATACAAGATGCACTGCTCTGTGTGATATTAAACTCATCATTTTCAGCTTCGGAGGTGGAATGCACAATGATTCAACAGGAGCCCTATAAAAGTCATCTTTGCAATTTTATTTTCTTCAATTGTCTGTCTTTTCCCTCTGAGATTTTGATGAGCTGCAGAGGGAAAGGAGGAGGTAGAGAGATGACTTCAGAAATGTACAAGGAAAATGTGCAATTCTATCTGTGGATGATGGAGTTAGAGAGTCTCAGCAGCCAGCTTTGTTGAATTTTCCTGGGTTATCTTGTGTAGAGATGTTGCTGACTTCGAGCTGGCCAGCAAGGTGGTGAGGGAGCAAAAATGAAAAAAAACTAGATTTCTCTGATAACTATTCAGGAATATCTTCCTCTGCCCTATACTTTCCCCAGCACCTAATGTGATAGCACTGTATATAGACAGCAGGTAAATGATTCTGATTGAGTCACATGATCCCAAAATGAAAACTGAAAGCATTTATGGTGAACCCCAAATCCTCTAGCCACCAATTTGAATAGGGCCACGTTCATACGGCCTCTCTCATTTCTTGGGCTTATTTATCCACAAACTAGTAAAGTCTTCTCCTTTTCCTCCACTACACACAAATGGTAACATATCAAACATTCTATGACAATCTGATTTATTTTCTTTTGAAATATTTCAAGTGAAATATTTCAAAATTCTCAGTATACAAAGAGTTACCCTGTACAAACTAAAATATCCTCTATGACATTTCAATTGCGTCCAACCTTTTCCAGTTAGAGTGTTTTCATGATTGACTCTGTGTATACACTATTTCACACATATACAATTATAAGTAGGATAAATTTGTAGAAGTAGAATTTCTGGGCTCACTGTGCATTTGCAATTCTGATCAATATTGACAGATTGACCTCCTTAGGAGGACCAATTTATACTCCTGGCAATGAATTTTAGTTTTTCTTTCTCGGTTACCTTGACAACATGGATGAAATAAAATTTTTTGATATTTGCCAATTTGATGGGTGAAAAATTATATCTAAGATTAGTTTTAATCTGAATTTCTTTTAGTATAATTATCTTACATTATATGATTAAGCATCTTTTCATATCTTAAGTATTGTTTGCACTTTCTTTTCTATGAATCTTCTGTTCATTTTCTTTGCCCATTAAAAAATTGGGTTGTTGAGCTTAATTTATGAAAATACTTTATTAAAGAAATTAGCCTTTATGTATAGTTTAACGTAAGCTTTAC